TAGTAGACCGTTATATTTTATATAAGAAACTGCGCAGTTAATGATCATTGCCAGAAGTTACTTTGGTACAGAGGTATAAAATTCCAAACATAAAATTATTTTTTTCCATGTTAATTAAATGGGAAACTAAAATAAAAACAGCGACCTCTTAGAGTTGAGCTGGAACGCCCATATTTGGTGAGGATGTTTTTATATTAAATAGAAACATTTGAGAGGGTAAGAGCGAAAAAAAAAATAAATTTTATTTTTTGAAGCACCCTAGTGTCCAGGAATAATTAGCAAAGAACTTGGGGGTGATTTTAAAACCTATTTTATAAAAATGGTTAATATACAATTTTTGCCCTAAACTGCTTTCTTTAAAAAGTCAAGCCTTAGCATTTTGAATTTTTGTTTTTTTAGTTATTTCATTTTCGATTACAATTATACAGGGTTTCCGGTCATGGTCATCAGATAAACTTTTTAATGTTTTTCAAAAACGCAAAAATTAGGTTTTTTTGAAACACTGTACAGGGTGATCCCCTATAATGTCGCCCCCCCTTTAACTTTTTTATTTTAAGTGTCCCAAAAAAATTAAAAGTGTGGTTATGTAGGAACTAAAAAATACTTTTTTTCTACGTATAAAGAAAATTGGAAAATTGATCGGTATACAGGGAAAAACAAAAAGTTAATTTTTTTTCAATGGATCACCCTATATATGAATTTATTTTTCGATTCCTTGTAAAATTCTAAGCATATTTCATATATCATACCATATACCTAAATTCAACCGTTTCTGAAATATTTAAATTATTTTTAAGATAATAAGTTGAAATAGTTGGTCTTTCTCTGTCTGAGTACGCCATTTTTACTTATTTAACAACACTTATTGACATAATGTCACTATAGTAATTTATTTTTAATAAAAATTTTGGTATACTGAGGCTTCTTGATTTTTAACAGTTTAAAAAAACATTTAATTATGACATTCCGAATGCGAATATTTCAGAAACGGTTGAATTTAGGTATATGGTTTGTATATAAATTATGCTCAGAATTTTACAAGGAATCGAAAAATAAATTCAAATATAGGGTGATCCATTGAAAAAAAAACAAACTTTTTGTTTTTCCCTGTATAATGATCAATTTTCCAATTTTCTTTATACGTAGAAAAAAAGTATTTTTTAGTTCCTACATAACCACACTTTTAATTTTTTTGGGACAAATAAAAAAGTTAAAGGGGGGCGACATTATAGGGGATCACCCTGTACATTCAAAATTAATTTTGTAATTATTGATATAACATGGGAGTTTTTGGAAGGCTGTTCGGCTGACAAAAATACGCAGGTCATAAATTTACAAAATATGGGTTTGTATGTAAAAGTATCCGAAATTAGGCAACTTTTTTCTACCTCAGTAATCAAAGTGAAATAATGTTTTATGCCTACCATTGGGTAAATTAAATAAAACTATCTTACTTAAAGCCAATCCCATTACAACTGTAACAATTATTATAAATTTAACTCTCAAATTAAAAAGAAATCCATACTGTCGCATAGAGGTTTCAACTATTTCCCATTCTTTTATTATTATTGACCACTTTTGACTTATTCTTATCATTTGCCATCCTGAGAAAAAGTTCCATAAGTAAAACATACAGGGAGCTGCAAATATAAAAGGATTAAATATATATTTTTTTCAATTACATTTTTTTAACCTATTTCATCTGTTGTTAAACCATGTTTTCCAAATTTAATAAAACAAAACACCACGGAGATTAATGCTCCAAAAACATTAAAAAGGCTGTAAGCAACTTTCCAGGATTTCCATTTAAATTTAAGATCCTTCACGGTCCCTTTTGTAATGCCATGCAAAGGCATAAGTCCGAAAAACTGTCCAATAATAATAACGAACCTGAAATTTTCCTGGAAACTGCATTTACGAAAGCTTGTTACTCTCAAATTTTGTTCGATTGTCAGCATTATGTCTGATTGCATTTTTCTGAAAATGTTCATGGTAAATGTACTTTATCGAACGAAAGAGTAGATTTAACCATTGGGCGATAACGATCTGGTATTGGTTTAATATCTTTCGCTATACAATATTTACGTGCCTTATCTTTTTATAAAAAAAAATCACAAACCTACGTCTTGAACTATTAATATGATCAGGGATTATTGATTATGTGTCCGTAATTAATCATAAATATTAGTTTATTTGTATAAAAATTTGTTTTTATAATTAAAGAACCATTAATACTGCGGTTAAATAAAACGCGATTGCACGAAAATGAGCGGCCCGCGGCGCACTAATTCTCCAAGATTAGTCTTGGACGAAAAATCATGCGCGATCACGCAAGATTTGCGAGATAAGAACGCAGCACATTCCATGTGTGTTTTGGGTTTTTTGAGAAGTAATTTTTAAAATAATGTAGTTTTTTCAATAAATTATTTTAGTCATGTTTATGTTCTTTGGTTCAATAGCTTGATGATTATTCTTAAATAAATTATTGAATTTATGTTTTATTTAATTATTTTGCCCTTACGATATAACCTAACAAAGTTAGAATCCAAATAACTATACTAATTTCTTTTTTTATTAATCTTAACCCGTAACTGGTGAGGTCACTTTTTTGTTACATAACTGGTGAGGTGGGATTTGCCAAACCTCAAATGAAAACGGCGATTCTGCGAAATCAAAATAAAATAGCGAGTATTTGATTCACTTCTGGGTAACCTTTATTTATTATAATGCGTTTATAGTATGAACTTCATACCTACAAAAAAACAAATATTTTAGCAGTAATTAAATTTTATTATGGGGCTCCACAAAACTTGCTTCAAAACTTATTTCTAATTGCAGTAAGTAATTAAACTGAAAATATAGAATAAAAAAAATAGAAAATATCGAAACACGTTTCTAAAATTCGTTAAAAAACATACAAAGGAACAAAGTTTTAAAAAAATTGTATTTCTAGTAAACTGGTGAGGTGGGGTTACGCAAACCCCAATTCGACTGACGGACAACTGGCCGGAAGCTACACAGGGGATATCGAGCCTCGCGCCATTCTTTAATACGTGGTAAAGATGCTTAAATTCGGTGGTGTTTGGGAAACCCCACCTCACCAGTTACTGGTTAATTCTGCGAGATCTCGCAAAATACCGAGATCTTGCGAGATTAGACCTCTAAAAATTTGCAATACCAAGATTGCACATTTTGCTGCAAGGAGAAAATAAAACATTAGCCATTGATGTTAAGAACACTTATCCACTCAATATACAAAGTCAAAGCCAACATCAAGGTCAAAATACTATTTAAAATTATAAAATTTTAAATAAAACCTTAGGGGTTACTTTGACAGTAGCATGCAATGCATAGTTTTTTTGTTACATCAATAGGTAGTCCCACGAACTATAGTGAGCAATAATCTGCACATAAAATATTATTTCCAATACTTATTCAGCGAATTTATTGTTCTGCGCATCATTGGTTACCATTTTATTCCCGAGTCAAAATTTAGATCGTAATTTAAACCTAATAAGTCTGAACAATTTCCGTCTTGAACGGTTTTATTTTCACCTAAAGATAACCAACTTTTAACCTAAAACATGGCAGATAAGTCAATTTTTCCGATTTTTCGGTTCTAATTACGTTTAAATTTGAACCAAATTATGAAAAAGCTCAGGCCACTGCGCATGTCGATTAATAAAAGCGCGACAATATTTGAATTTAAAAATATCTTTGATGCGCGGTTCTTGCAAACGCAGCGACGATATTCTTAAAAAAGTGAAATGGGACTTCGTCAGATATTCTAAGAATATTCCTTTGTGAATGTTCGGAATATTCCAGGAATATGTATAGAATATTTAACTATTAGTCACCAAGAACATTCCATCAAAAATATTCTTGGCATATTCGGGATATACCAGGATTATTCAAGCGATAATCATACCTGGAACATTTTTTTGAGAATTTGTATAGTATGTTCTTATCACTTCTGAATATTTTTAGAATATTCTAGGAATATGATCCAACATTTCATAGAAATATTACCAAACGAATGTTTTTTGGTTATTCCTGGTAATAACATTGGGCAATACTTGTTGTTGTGTTAAATACTATTAACTTAAACCTAATACATTTTTACAAACTTTGGAACAATATTCATTTAGTGGGCAAGAAAGATTTAAGAACTTTTGTTCAAAAACCGAGATTATTTTTGGTTATCAAACCACTTTGGTAAATTTAAGCAAAGTTATTGACGGTATTTAAACCAATTTTACTAGAAACGGGTTAAGACAAGAGGACCGGTTTACATGAAAAAATGTTATTTAATAATGTTGGTACAAAATGACAGAGATTCAATAAGTTAAGATAACATTTTTCCAAGTCTCACCTTGACCAAAATTTTAACCTAGTTTATTTATAGTAACGTTAAATGTTAGGTATTCATACCAAATTTCACTCTTTTATCTCCACAGGTTTCTGAAAAAATATTTTCAAGGGCGGACTTTAAAGTCTTAAGACCTAATTAGGAGTCATTTCTGGCACTGTTTATAAATATAACATTTTTTGTAATATTTAAAATTTTTTACTGTATGGTAAATTTCCCGAAAACCTTTCTTTAGAACCTGTATACATGTTTTTTAAATTTAGTTCCTATCAATACTTAGTTGGGTAATCAAACAATGGTAATAAATCTTCTATGTGAGCATATCTGAAAGGTTTATTATGTGGGAAAAAACAGTTGTGTCTAATTTTATACTTTCGGTACATGTCATGTACTGTACAGTACATATAGTAACTATATGATAAAGTTTTATTAAATATTTACATAAGCATAAACAAAACCAACTAGGCACGTTCTCTACTTAAGTTATAAAAACATGTTTTTTATTATTATTTTTCCTATATTTGTTATAACAGTACCTATTATTTTTTAAGTGTTATTTAGTTTTGAATCATATTATGACTTCTACAATATATTCTGACATATTTTTTTAATGTCAAGCTTTAGTTAATTGTAGCAATGTCAGAATCGAAGTAATCAAAATTTTCAATTTAAAATGTCCTTTTTGGTAAAACTAAGTCAAAAACATCTAAAAATCTACAGTAATCCTTCAAAATTCATAAGCCAAAGACGAAAATTTTCTTGCGAAGATCAGTTTGCTAAATGCAAAGTAGTCCTAATAAATGGAGGTGGAGGGGTGACAGGTCAAGCCTTTGCGTCGCTTTTTCTAAAAAGTGGCGCCAAAGCTGTTGTGATAGCTGATTGCGAAAGAAACGAGTGCATTTGCCAGTTAATGGAGAAATACGGAGGGGACAGACTGGTTTTTGAAAAAGTTGATGCTGCCAGTAAAGCGTCGTTAGAAGGCGTGTTTAAAAGCACTGTAAGGAACCACGGCCATTTGGATTTTGTGGTAAATAATGCCCGTTTTATGTCTATCGATAACTGGCAAAAAACCATATGTATAAATAATTTTGGCTTGGTCTTGGGCACGTTTTTTGGATTGAAGTACATGGGATTGCAAAAATGCAAAGGCGTAGGTGGTACCATTGTTAACGTTAGTAATTTGGCTGCTTTGGAACCGTTTTTCCCAGTACCAGTTTACACTGGGGCTGGTCATTTCCTCCTCCAATTTACCAGAGGTATGGGTAATAATTTTTTCTATAAGAAATCTAACGTAAGGATCATGGGACTCATAACGGCCTCGATTCACCCCACGGAGCTTTCAGGAGCTTTACCAAAAGATTCCTGTTTTGGGGATCTCGGAAATTTATCAGAGGAAATGGCAAAAATGGTATATAATTTACCAACTCATGATTGTAGAACCTTTGAACTGTTTATGGACCATGTTATTAAGGAAGGTCAAACTGGCGATATATGGGTAGCTGAAGGTATTGATGTATTTAAAATAAGGGCGTATGACAGAAACAAATTAAAATGTAAAGCTGCCGCTTAGCTGTTTAGTAATTGTATGGTGTATAAACTAAAAAATTGTGCCTTAAGGTTTTTAAAATATATCAAATTTTATTAAAATATTTCAAAAGTAAAAATTGTACTTCATCTAAAAATCCACAGTAGCCAGTGTCGAATTTAGTAGGTCAGCACACTGGCATTTGCTGACTGTTCTTCCTTAGCAATTGCCCAACGGGACCTTTCATTATTCGGTAATTTAAAACTTTGTAGGCCATTTAAATTTAGTTTTTATGGTCATCAAGACATTTTGTACTCCGTACTTTAAAGAATTAGTTATGATCTAATTGCAATTACAAAACTGTTGTGTTTGCAATAAAACACTTTAAACCTAGACATTTTGTTTATTAAGTGGCGATATATAGGTGCATGAAACAAATTAATGTTATATATATTATAATTATATATAAAACTCATTTAATTATATGGTGTTACACTGTACAGTAAACCATGTTTCTCGAGGTTTTAGTATAGGTCAACTTTTGATTGAAACAGTAATATTTCATAAGTAAATATTGCAGTTGCCATCTACAAAATACTTCATTAAAATGTTTAAAATAAACTATTTACAATCTCACTCCAAAAATAAGATTTTTCTTTATTTTGAAAAAATCAAATCCTGTTAAAAATATTGGTTGGAAATATACTTGTGTTATAAACCTTTCAATCTAAAATATAATACACAAAATTTAAATTTATGGTTTATACATTTTTTTACCTCTGTTATATAGTTTTCATTATTTACATTCAAAAGCAAAATTAAAGTTTTTTGACTTTTACTATACATCTTAGATGAATACAGCACTAGGCATAGTGTACGAAGCAATAAGTATCCAAATGATACCAAAAAATAAATGTTCTGTATAAAATTTGATGTAAGGCTAAAAATTTATTAAGTTTAATCATATTTTAAAATTAAAATTTTTATGCTTACCTTGTAGCTTTATAAAACGAACTAATTAAAAAATAAATATTTGTTGAAAAAGACCACAAAATAATATATTTTAATTTTGAATTTGTGTATAAGTTTATTTTAAAAAGCTGATTGTAACTGTATCTAAGAATTTCACATTTTTCTTTTGATATGGTCTATAAACATCAATGTAGAAAAAAATATTTAAATAATATTATATTACAAACCTTTTTGTTTAGTTCTTTAACTTGTTTATTGATTATTTTAACTCTACGAACAATTACACGACTTATTATTATTATAAATGCATCGATATAATTCCATTGCATTACATTACACCAATTGATAAACTAAAATAACAATTAATTAAAATTATTAATTAAAATACTAGTCTGCAAATTAAATATTGGCCTTTAAAGTTAATAATTAGTTAATTATTAATTTAATCAATTCTATATTCTATTCTATATTCTATAGAAAATATGCATGTAAAAATACTGAAGTTGCAAGCTTTTTTGGGTCAAAGTTTATACAAACCAAATGTGTATACTTACAAATACGTAAAATCCCAAATATTCACCATAGGGAATAACATTAAATATAAATCCAAAATCCACCATAAAACATTCCTTTATAAAAATCCCATTTGACTGCAAATTATTTAAGTTTTTCTTTACTATAGAGTAAGTTTGACTTAAAGCTAAAAGATGCTCAGCTAAAATATATTTTTAATATTAGATTTGTAAATAAATTAGCGAATTAATACATTACTTGCAGCGACAAGCAATGATATGATAAGAATTAAATTAATTTCTCTTTTTAAACCTTTCGTATAAGTTTTAAAGTCATTATCAAATTTGGTCCATAGGTTGTTAAGATTTTCCCAATCTTTTGCCAGAAATATAAATAATATGCCTATTATTAAGCCATTAAAGTTAAAGTAAAAACTATCTAAATATAAAATATTTAATTTTTTATTTATTTATAAATTACATCGTCATACTTACCCATAGCATTTAAATTAAATGAATTTTTACATAGTTTGATAAAAGACATAACGGCCATTAGTAGTGTACCAATTATAATAAAATAACTGTAAGACATTTTTATCGACAGCCACGAAAATTTAATTTTATTTGGATATTTTTGATAAATATTTTTAATCGGTAATAATCCAAAAAACTGACCCACAAAAATAATTAGTTTTATATCGTTATGAAACATAAAATTATTTAAATATGATTGCTTCATTTGTAATTCAAAATGTTTTTAAATGTGTTTTCGGGGTATTTTTTAATATTTCTTATTTTTTGAAATTTAAATTATATATTTATTTTGTTCTTATTAGTCTTAAAGAAATTTAAAAAATGTCACTTACGGTATGATTCCAATCTATACAATTCATTGTGTTTAATATTAAATATTCCTACATAATGGCTTTTAATTTTTCAAAGACTAATTAATTATTTATAGTTTCTAAAAACAAATTATAATTCTTATTTAAAATTTTCATTGGGAATCTTAAAGAGCTCGTTGCTCATTGTTCAATGTATTTAGTTAAAATACAATAAATAAAATTGAATATTATTGAAATTATATTAATTTATTTTTTTATTAGCAAATGGCAAACATCTAACCAATAGTATATTTTTCAACGATTGAGAAAGATCGCTATTTCAATTAGGATAAAATATTCAATATTCCAACAGGAAATGGCCATTTCTCAACAGTTGAACACCATACTTTTTCTAATTTCATTAAAAAATTTAGTACAATTTTGTGAAATCACTGTTCTTACTCGTACTTATTATTAGTGTCAATTAATTTTTAAGAAAATAATGAACCAAAGTATATACTTAAGAAGCATCGGGTTTTCGCAACGCAACGCGCCATCTGGTGGTGTTCGATAGCAATTGTGTGAATTCAAGAATTGAATTTAAAGCATACGAACTCAGTTCGTCAATTCGTCGAACATTTTTAAATAAATAAGTAGTTTTTTTTACAAAAGAGGTTCCTTCCAAGTCAGAAGTCTTACCAGATAAATTTTGTTTAATAGCAGAGCTAAATCGCGCACATTAAATAAATAGTATTTTTTTCACAAAAGAGAGGAAGGCTTCTGAAAATTTGTTTGGAAAGTTTTAATTGCACAGCTAAATCGCGTGTTGTAAGTAAAACTGAAAAACTTTGGTTTAGTACTTGATTTCAATTTATTATTCCTTATATTATTAATAAAGAAACTCAACGCTAAAATAGTTACGTTAGTGTGTGTATTTTACTTAAGTGATCATGGGGAATTATTGTGTTTTTAATTGTAAATGTATTCAAGAACTAAATCGTTGCATTTTCATGTTTTGCCAAAGGATCAAATGTGGTACGTATATTTGTAGGTTGAACCTACTACACTCTTAGAAAAGACCTGGTATTTGTAACTAACTTATTATCGTTGGGGTAAAACTGTTGCAGAAACTAAATTTTTTTGTTTTTTGTAATCAGTACCTTTATATATGTAACTGCTTGCATCATTACCTGAAAAGATTTAGTTTTGTTGTTGAGTATTATTTACTGCAAAAAGGCGATTAAGTTATTTTAACTGAAACTTTGTGTTGGCTAGAAGTATTGACAACATTATCTCAAAAAAATCATTTCAGCGGTAAAATGTTTTTGTTGGACCAAATATTTAAGTAACATTCTCAACTGACCGAAATTAGTCCGTGGAACTAACGGTTCGGTTGTATAAACTATGCGTCACCTTTCACACAGCTAAGACACCAGCGGTGTGAAACAAAGTGTCAGACACTGTCAGTTGGGGATGTTGTCTCTGTAGGTTAATGCAACTGCAAACTTTGTGCATTTCGCGCGCGATTTGTCCAGCCCGGCGCGTGCTTTACTTTTAACCTGTAAACAAACGGTGTTGCACGGCGTCCAGACTTCGGTGGTGTTTGTTCTTTTGTATTTGTGTATCAGCTCGTGTATAGTGTATATTTTAGGTGAGAAACTAGATTATTACAATTTGTCATTTGCCCCTGTAAATTCAGTGGCGACATACTTTTTAACTATTCATATATATAAGAATATATTCTTATGTGTTGGTTACTTATAGATATCTCGAACAAATAATATGGATGAGCGGACTGTTGTAGCAGATTTATTAGGAACATAGGGTTTACCTGAATTGGTTCCAGTTTTTAAAGGTTAGGTATTATTATTGCACTCCTTTAATTACACTATTGTAGTTTTGGGGCCCGAAAAAAAAATACATAAATGTGAAAATGCCATTCCGACTGAAAATGGCCTCCTGAATCCAATGGTGCCCACTAAAAGTCTCCATCACGTCGGAATTTCGAGAATTTTTTGATTTTTGATACTAGAGGCACTCACACTCAAAATTTATCGAATGCTTACCCCTGTTAGCATGCAAATATGTTACGTTGTACCTAAGAATCATTGTTAAGTTGTTAAACATCACGGTTTACTGAAGAAGTATAGTCAACATTCATCTTAATGTACCTATCTGTGTATATTTACCAAAGAATCGTTTTTGTTTTATTGTTAAAATACTTATAAATGTTTTCTTAGAGTAATTATTAATTTTTGTTATAATGTTTAAACCAAAATTTGGTGTTTTCAGATATTGTTATTTTTTAATTTATAATAAATATTTACAAAACGAACGGGCATGAATTTTCTTTCTCTATTTTTTATAATATTTACACAAAAAGTGTTATATTTACTAAGCAGGTATGTACTGTGAAATAATACCAATTTGTTGTTGCTACTAACGCAAGCATTTAATATTAAATATAACTTAGTTACAGTACAAAACAAATTTATATTATATCAACTATTAAATTCTTTAAATGTACCTTTTTTCATGTAATTTCAATTAAAAAATAAATTCCTACATGATACAATGTTTGTTGCGATAAATAGCAAGTGCAGTTGTTACAACTTAGACGCTGCTAAAATGACAGACTAATGTGATTGCATTAAATATCAATTATTTGTATGAAAAAAAAACTAATTTTGATGCACTTAAACTTGTTGGTTGGAGCTACCAATATTGGCTGTTCCGACAACAAAGTGTAAAAACAAATTTGTATTGGTTCCCACAACA